ACTTCTGCTTGTGACTGTGACTGCTTTGGTTTTAAACATTTAATCCTGCTGAGGAGTATATACGCGTCCCTTTATCTTTAGTGGGTTCATAACCTTGTTTTCCTGGAGAAACCTACACAATACCTGTTAGTTAGGCAGCCTTGCAGCTAAGCCATGCATGAGTTAGGTGTGTGCTAATGGAAAGAGGCATGTAACCTCAGCTGAAGCTGTCTTGCTTGGACACTGCTGGGACACGCACAGAGCGGAGTGAACTGTGCCTTGTGTTGTATGGCACTCACAGCTGCAGAGAGGGGTGCCAGACACTGGCCTTGGGGAAAGGCGTAAGCTAAATTGTCCAGGGGGTGTCTGTCTCAAGAACACTGACCAGTGCAGGTGGAGCCAGGTCTGGCAAAAAGAAGGAGGAGCATACCCTGTTTTTTTTTGACATTGGTGGGTTTGCTAGTGTGTGTTCTTGGCTTTTACAGGGGGCTCTCAGACCTTCAGGGAGTTGGGCTTTGCCCACCTAGCAGGGGTTGAGCATGGGGTTCTGATGCGGTGAAATGTGTGTTAGCTTTAGCTGCTGTGTGTCTGTAGACACCATGAGGTGGGTGGGAAGGCAGGTTCCTCTGGTGCCATCCACCTTCTTCACTTGAAAGGGAAATTCTCCTGAGAGAGATGCAGCTGATACTTGCAAGTATTTGTCTTGCATACTTCAGCTGCACTGACACTTGGAGGTGGGACATGTGATAAATGGGCACAGCAGGATGAGAGCAAATTCAGTACTTAGCAGAGTTGGACCTGAAGACCAGAAGCAGGGCATCTTCATTAGGAACAGACATGAACATAAGTTTTATTTCCTAATCTGTAGTCACTACAGAGTATTTATCTTCTCTAAAGCTTACAGACAAATGACTAAAAGATTTGAATCTGACATGTCAAAATTTTTTAAAAGCCAGAAAGCATCTCCTTTCAGCAGACAGGAAATTTGAGACTCAATTACTTTGCTTTAAAAGGTCCCAGGCTGACGGTTCAGGCAGGAGAAATGCTGGCCCATGTTCACTGTGTTTCCTGAACAGCAGCTAGTACGTCCTCTTCTCCCCATTTTACACCTTGCCCAGACCTGAAGGGGTTACATTTTAAAATGAATAATGACTGAATTTATTTGTCATGGACAAACGATGACAGCTGTTGAGATGCTCCTGTTAGCACTTCCCAGGGGATAAAGTCAGGCTGGTTCCTAGTGCAAGCCAGCCCAGCCAGGCAGACTCAGCTTGTCTTCATCCTGGATTGTTTGTCCCAGGTTCCCCTTGCTAGTGGGAAATTACTTCCTAGAAGTGAACTGAAGTTTTCTGGGCTGAAATGGGTGTTGATGAGAATCCTGCAGAGCTACAGTTGTAGAGAGAGGACTGAAGCCATAGCTGTTTAAATCCACGTGTGAAGACAGCATGCTTAATGAATACAAGGGGCAGAGATTGATTATGTTCTGGACTGAAAGCCGCAGCACTCTGTGAAGCACTGTTACATCTGGGCACGCTATGGAAAATATGAAGGAATGTTGAGGAAGCTTATTTGCAGAAGGATATGTACTTGTAAGCAATTTTATTTTCTTCTTAAATAATGTAAAGGAATTGAGAAATGTAAAGCAAATAGTGTTCTATGTTTCTCTGAGACAGCAGAGCAGTGAGCAGACAAAGGCCTCTTTTATAAGGGCATGTCTGACAGAGAGTACTGTATAGCCCTTATAAATGAGCATTTGGGGGGGTCTTGGGATGTGAGAATATCAATGGTTATTTAGTGTTAGAACATGGCACTGATTTTGCATCAGTGCACCTCTGCTGAAGTCGAGAGTTACACCCATGATGAATTTACCACCTCGTGATTTGCAAAAAAATATGATCCTAGTTCAAATGATTATTGTGAACAGGAGCCAATGAATGGGGACTAAAAAAGGCTTTTTAATGATAATGTGTAGTAGCTTGCTTTTCTCTTATTTTCTGTACTCCCATGTTCAGGTTTCTTTCAGTTCTTTGTTTCTCTTTCTGTCCTGCACACGTGCTGCTGGAAGACTTGGTGTACAGTTCTGAACGTGGCGCTGTCATTCTGCACTGCTTGGATGTGAAAATGCTGTTTGGTTATTGAAGGGATATTCTGATTTGATAAATATGTAATGCTTAGTTTGTAGACTTAATGAACAGGAACATGTGATTGTAATTCAAACACACACAGAACTGTGGGCTGGATGAGGGTTTTTTTGAGTGTTTGGTGGTTTTTTTTCTTTTTCTAATGCGCAAAAAAGCTCATTTTAAATAGTTTAATAAGTAAAATGCTACAGGGGTGTGATCCTTTTAATATCTGTTTTTATAATTTTTAAGATTTATTATATGAAATAGCAAACCACACCCTCTGCTCCTTTCAAAGGGATGAGGCTTTAAAAATGCAAATACCAAGAGGAAGTGAGTTAACTAAGACTGCATCTAGATAGCCTGAAATGCAGCTGATGGAGACTTTAATTACCAGATGAAAGTAGTTTTGAAGTAGTAACATATCTTTTGTTTTGAATATGACTGACTTTCTCTTGACTGGTAAAATATATATATGGCAATCATTTGCTTAGTATCTATGTAGAAGTTTTTGAAATAAATGCAATTGGGGCATATTTTACCCAGAAGTTTCTGTATTCAAGATCTGTGCAAGTCTTTTGGCATCACTTCCTAGAGGCTTCAGAGGTTGTATATTTAAAAGTCTATTTTGATCTGCCATGACCTTCCATGCAGTTCTCACCAAATAAGGTTTTTGAAGTAAATCCTATTTGAAATAGACTGTACCTGTGGGGGGAACAACAAAACCAAACAAAATCTGTCTTGCTTTTTAAGAACTGGCTGTGGTAGGATTTGCTGGGTGACACGCCTCCTAGCCTTGCAGAGAGTCAGTCCTGTGATTATTGCAAAAAATGAAAAGGGGTTGAAAAAAAAGGAGAGGGAATTAAAAACCAAGGTAATTCAGAATTTAATTTGTTTTTAAGCTCCAGCCAGTGGCCTTGTTGTATATTTTTCTGTTAGGTGAGAAACAATAAATCACACTAGAAAACTATAATAAATCTTGAGTTGCTGCATTAACACAGAATATAATAAAGAAACTTGTTAAGAATCTGGCCAGGCTAAACAGCCTCCTGCAGTGAATTTTCATTTAATTGAATTACAAGCCTATTCTCCAATCCTTTAATCATTCTCATGAACTGTTTTCAAATTATTTTTGAATTAAGTATGTCAGAACATGACCGGTGTCAGTAGGGAGGATCGCATGTTCTCCGTGGCTGCCCTAGGGCTACTACACCACTGTGTTAAAGAGAGCCCAACATCCTAATTGTGGCTTATGTTCTTCTCAGCTGTGTAACTTTAAATTTGTTGCTGTTAAAATTCATATGTTCACTTTTGAACAGTCCCAATCACCTGTTATTATGGTGCCCCTTTGCTCGAGATGTTTTTTGGTTTGGGTTTGGGTTTTGTCGTCCATCTCCTCCCCCCGCCCCAGCCCTTTCTCATATTCTAAGATTTCCTGAACATCAAAACATCAAAATTAAGGGGAGAGAGAGAGAGATTCTTGGCCTCCTTTCTTACTTTGTTGGATGCTGCTGTCTACCCACCATTTCTGTGCTTTGATTAGAGTGTTGGTATTATGTGCAAGTGTGCACCTTGGAAATGTGGTGTTTAGGTTTTTAGATGCTGTGATGGTTCTCCCGTGTCCAGCTGCTAATAAGCCAGTACCACTTTGGGCAAGGAAAACTCCTTAAGACTACTGGGCTGAGGACATTACAGGCTTTGCTTTCTGTTCTTTTTGTCTTCCCTAGGATATGCCTATAGTATTACCAGTTTATTTTCTTACTTTTGGAAAGCTGAACGTGTATTGAAATTCATTAATTAGTGTCTAACTAGTAGCCTTTATTTGTTACTATATGTTCCCAGGTGCTTTCTTGAATAGGGATGGATTAAAGCACTTGCTTGAGTTTTTACTGAGTGAAATTTTGCAAAGGGAATGTTTCTGAACAGGTGGAGAGTGGGTTCATACCTTGGACTGTTGGAAGAAGGATGGACATGAAGCAGGACTCAAATCTTGAATGAAGCATTAGTGTGGAGAAGCTAAGTGATGGGGGCCGAGGTGGCTTTCTGGTCTCAATAAATAATGCGCACCATCTCTATCAGCTGTCCAAACACACTGTCACCTTTCAACCTAAGGCTGGTTTCTAAAGTGAATTAGCTAATCTGAGTAAAACTGCAATATAAGCACTCCTTTGGAATTGAAGTGACTTTCACTGAGAATCAAAGTGACTGTAATTCATTTTAAGATAATTTATGTTCGTGTTTAGAGATAGAGGCTGCAGTTCCCTTTGGATGTACACAGAAGGTTCAATAAGTTTTAATACATCTTGTATTTGGTTTTATGAATTTGAGGTAACTTTTTCTGTTTACTTGTAAAGAGTCTCTGGTGATCATTTAAAAGAATAAAATGGATTTATAGCTCTGAATGGGTTCTGTGATAAATGCTCTGTAGTTTATCAAAAGCATGTGTGTTGCCATGCATCTTTCCTGGGTTACCCTGTATTTTCAGTCTGGTGCAGGCTGTTAGCAGGGTGTGACTGGGCAGCCTGTGCTGTCTGATCCCTGCAAATGTTGATCTTGGATTTGCTCATGGTCTTGGTTTCACTACAGCCCATGGCAAAATAGCTCTCAGAGACATAAACATCTGACATAGACTGTAGACACCCCAAGTGTTACCTGTGGCTTGCATCTTTCTGCTGTAGATTTGAAGTTTATTCTTTTTGTCTAATGTATTCATTAAAAAAGTTTATACAGTGGCTTCAGTAGCAAGGATTGGGTTCAGTGGCCTGAGGGTCATTCGTGAATAGCTATTTCTAATGGCAGAGCAGACCTGAACATGCAGCATATTTGCTGTTGCATGGGCATGTTCTTTGGGATATCCCTTTGCATCTTCAGACTTCAAGCTGAGTGTGCTTTTTTTGGCAGATAAAATTTTTGATGATGAAGACTCCGTGGATGGGAACAGACCTTCCTCAGCTAGCTCCTCTACATCTTCAAAGGCCCCTGCAAACTCACGCAGAGTTGGGATGGGGACTACCCGCAGACTTGGGTCTGCACCTCTGGGCTCCAAGTCCTCAAGTAAGCTGATAGCATATATAAATTGACCTGTATGTGAAGTATTTATAGTGTTCATACTTGAGCTTATGCAAGGACTTCCAGTCTGGCCCCCAGGATCCAGTAACAAATTTTTCCTTGTGAAATCATTGTGTGTGTTGTCTGCATGCCGTGGTTGAACTTTGGTAGGATGAATCTCCAAGCAGTTCCCACATCCCTGTAATATGCTTTGCATTTCTGGAAGGTTAGACCTCTGCAGTTGGGCACTGAGGGCTACGAGTAAATCATGTCAATGTTGCTGTGTGTAGATTTTTGCCTTTGTAGCTGCAACTCTTCAGCTGAACTGAGGCTGTTTATGACTGCACGCTAAACTTTAGCCCATGCAATCTAAAACTGACCCACTGGCTTTCTTCTAAGACCTTTGGGCATTGCTGATAATGAAGGTGCAAAAAGAAAACTGAGTGGTAATTCTGAATGTGAGCAATAATTCCACATGTGATTATAATTCTACATGTGACCTAGAGAAATGGGAAAGTTCCCTGTATCAGATAGTCTCCAATCTGATTAGTATTCCAGAGACACTTTGTCTGTCTTATCATTTGTCTGTTTGTGCACCTGTCAGATCTGCACCTTCATCTATTATAGAAAGGATTAAATCCTTTAAAATAAAATCTCCTGTATAATTAAAGTAAATATTCTCTTTCATCTTTCACACTATGTCCCCTGTGAGTGACTACTGTAATGACTTCCCTAATGTGCCCTCTGTGCCTAGGAGTTGAAGGATGCGGTGACTGTCTAGTCTGTGCCTGGCATTGAATTTCCCTGTCTCTGCTTTCATTACATCTGCAGCACTCTGAGACTGCATGGATTGTGAACTTTCTTGTTATTAAGTGTCTTGATAGCTGGTGGTTTCTTAATTGATTCTCTTGTTGATAAGAAGATTGAAAAGGCTTTTTCATTTGTATGTCAGCAGCCAAAGAGGGAGCAGGTGCTGTGGATGAAGAAGACTTTATTAAGGCATTTGAAGATGTCCCAACGGTTCAGGTAAGTAGAATTACATGTTAAAAAACACACAGTACTAAAAATCTGAAGATGAATACAGGTTCTAGTCTTAATCACTGACAAATTGTGCTTCCTTGTGATGTTGACAAATCTTCTTTAAGGGGAAGGCAAGTTAGAAGTTGGAGGGAGGTAAGCTTTAAATGATGGTATCTGCCAATAGTTTGTGTGAAACCCTCAGAAGTGGGAATGGAAGTAGGAAGGTTGTGATAAAAGGTATCACAGGAGCACGTATGGGGCTGGAACTGGATGTACATGCTGCGCAGTGCAGTTTGGTTGAACAAAAACTTAAGTCAACAGAAGCCTCTCTACATTTTATCTGTACCATCTGGGAACTGAAAGCAATAAAGGTGACCTGTGTCTCTAGGATTGCTGCTATTGTGAGTGTGACAACTGGACAGTGATAGATTTAGCTGAGCCATGTCATGTATCCTCTCTCTTTCACCAGGACTTTATTTATGGGGAACAGCACATGTATCCACTCTTGATCTTCTGTAGGTCTTTACTAATACAGCCACTAGTAGCTGCAGGAATG